CATTCGGCTCGCCATGGTTGCGGCAATAAGTTCCATCCTGGGAATAGTCACTGACTTAAGAGGAGCCACACGAGATTTTCCCATCACAAAAGCAGAGTGCCGTTCTGAATCAATATTTCTTGATACCAGGTAAGTGACTGTTCCATATCCGTTTTCGCTTGCATCACAAAAATGGTGCAACTGTGCTGAACAGACATCTCCAAAGTGTGGTGGTTTTAGGCACCTGTCCACTTCAAATAAGTCCAGCAGAGGGAGCTGTTGAATTAGCTTTAACCATTGCTTTGCGATTGAGTCTGGAACATGATCATCCCATCCAATTTCTCTCCTGCACAGATCTCCCATTATCCTTTTTGCAGTTAGAATCACAGGGCTGAGCATGCCGAGGGGATTGTAGATGGAGGCAATGGTCGAAAGCATTCCTCTTCTGGTAAGCGGTCTTTCCTTGATCTGGACTCTGAACTTAAACGAATCTGATTTGACTGACCATTCCACTCCCAGCACTCTCTCCACTTGCACAGCATCCAATTCCATATTCCGCATCTCCATTCCCTTTGCTCTGCGATTTTCTGGGATGACGTCTCGGACTGCTGCTCTGTTGCTCATCCACTTTGTGAGAGTAAATCCTCCTCTTGAACACAGCGAGACTAACTCATGGTGCAGCACCACAGCTTCCTCCTCAGTGGCCACAGTAAATCGTCGACATAGAAGCAGTGATGGAGTCTTTGTGAAGTCTCTTCTGTGTAGAGATGACCGTAGTCCTCTGCACACCTTCTGAGTGCATAATTTGCACAGCTGGGCGATGACGTGGCCCCGAACAAATGTACCCTCATCCGGTACTCAGCAGGCACTTGATCCATATCACCATCTTGCCACCAGAGGAACCTTAGCAGGTCTCTGTCATCAGGAGTGACCAACACCTGGTGGAACATCGCCTCTATGTCCCCCATAATCACTACTGGTTCCTTCCTGAACCGGGTCACCACACCGATCAAGGAGCTGGTTAGGTCTGGGCCTTGTAGGAGGTGAGCATTTAACGATATGCCTTGAAAGCTCGCTCCACAATCAAACACCACTCTCAGCTTTTTCTTTGTGGGATGATAAACTCCATGGTGTGGGATATACCATACTTTGCCACTGCCACTACTCAGCTCCTTCTCTGGGACCTCCTCTGCATAGCCTTTAGCCACAAGCTCTTTAATAAAGGTGTTATATTCAGTGAAAAGGGTTGCATCTTTTAGCAGCCTCCTCTTCATTTGTAACAAGCGCTGCAGGACCATCTTCTTATTATCAGGCATTTTGACTTTCATCTGCTTCAATGGCAAGCCAATCTGATAATGCCCATCCACTTGTTTCACTGTATCTGTCACCTTTTCCAGGAATTTTCGATCTTCTCTTGACAAAGCTGGCATTTCCTCCATGGTGCTCTCTGGGAAATCATTTTTGAATTGCTGCTGCCACAGCTCGTCCAGATTAACTACGGAAATTCTGTTTACAGTTGTTTCTGGCCAACTGCAGGCAACGGTCTCTCTGCTGCCAGCACCAAGCGGTCCATTGACAGTCCATCCCAGCATCGTCCGTATAGCGAATGGTCCTCCATTTACGCTGCACACCACATCCAGTGGCTCCAGGGCTCTTGGTACATTTGTCCCAATCAGGAGCTCTATACCTGCATCAATTGCAGGTAAGTGGACATGCTTCAGGTGAGGCCATTTTTTAATATCCCCTTTAGTGGGAATATTTCCCTTGTACACCGGCATGGATTCCTGTGTGTAGACCATTGGCAGTTCCAGAAACTCTTCTCCCTCCAGAGCAGCAACTTCGAGGCCAGACACCATGTTGCTTTTCACGACTTTCTCCTGTCCCATTGTGCGGAGAAGTATATTTCCTTTTCTTCCGGTCAAGTTGAGCTTATTCATCAAGGACTCCGTACAAAACACTGCGGTGCTCCCTTGGTCTAGAAATGCATAAGTTGTGACCGTTTTGCTTCCTTTCTTTGATTTAACTTGAACAGGTACGATGGGCAGCTTACAATCTTGATCCCCAGCCCCTGTAAGGCCACTTGATATTAGAGTATTGGCTACGGAGGCCACTTCGTTCCTTTCAGTCTGCGTGACACCATGAACAGATTCTTTGTGGAGAATAGTGGGATGTTTAAGGCTACACTTTGCACAGGAAATCCGTTTGCGGCAGTGCTTGCTCATATGTCCTGTACACAAACAACTGAAGCAGATCCCCCTTTCCTTTAGAAAATAAATTTTCTTCTCGTGCGCCATTCTTCCCAACTTCATACACATATCCAGTGCGTGTCCTGCTCCACAATAAAAACATTTATTTCCTTCAGGTGCCTTCACATAGTTGTTAGTCTGTTCTGTAGGTCCCACTGTTGTGGCAAAACTGGCTCCTTTAAGGCGAGGTATTGACTTTGATTTACTCGTTATTATGGGTGGGTCTTGAATGCTGCCAAAGACCGGATCAGTTAATATTTTTATTTGTCTTTCAATTAAATCCACAATGTCACTGAATTTTGCTCTCCTTTTCTGACGTTCTTGCAAATCACAAGCTTGGCTTCTCCATTTATCTCTAAGCTTATAGGGAAGTTTTCTTATTATGTTCATCATATTGGAGGGCATGTCCAAATCATGTAGGTATTGCACATCCTCCATAGCATTGCAACAGCCTCGGAGAAACAGACAATAATCCTGTAGTGCTCTCACATCTTCATTCTTAATGTTGGGCCAGGAGAGGGCTTTATCCATGTAGGCTGCAGAAATCCGTTGTTCATTACCAAAGTGCTCCTTTAACAAAGCTTTTGCCCTTACGTATCCATTCTCAGGATTGATGTGTTGACAGCTCCGTATCAAATCTCTGGCCTGGCCTTTGGTGTACTGTTCCATGAAATATAAGAGATCTGAATTATTGTTTGTATTTCTCTCGACTCCATTTTCGAATGCTTTGATGAAGGTGTGGTATTTTAATGGATCACCATCAAAAACAGGGATCTCTCGCTTTGGCAGAGCTGCGAGGCATTGTTGTTGAATTAGAAAAGTTGTTATCTCATTCTGCTTCTGCATGATTCCCATCACTCCGTTGTTATTGTCCACATATTCATTTGTTTGCCAATTTGAAATGGCTGTATGCACATATTGCGTGTTGGCCGGTTCCAGTGTTGCGTGTTGTGCTGTATTGCGTCCAGCAGATGGAGCTGTTCTATATTTGAGAGCGTAATTTTCATCGTGCTTGTTAGTTACATTTGTTTTTATCGGCACCGCTGGAATAAATTCCCCTGCATTAACATTGAATGTTTGCTTTGACTTGTTCCTTTCAAAATAAGAGTTCATTCCATTTGACACATGTGATGCCACCATTGACCCTGCCTTTGCTTTTGAAGCCTTTGATGACTTTCCACTTATAGAAGATCTTGTTTTGAGAATTTCAGTTTTTCTTTCCTTTTTCTTATTTTTTCTTCTTCCTCCTCCAGTGCATGTCTTTCTTCCAATAACTTCTGTCTTGCGCCCAAAGCAGCGAGTTCTGCTTCAGCGTTTAAACGTGCAGAAGAAGTGCTGGAGTGTCTGGAATATGACGTACGTGTTCCAGCATTTGAAGCACTGTCTGAAGGTTTCAATTCATCAGCAATTTCTTTTTTGTCCAAACATTGTTCTTTTTCTCCATTAATTTAATTTGTTGGCACCAAAGCTGGGTTTCCATTTGTTTCGAATAAATCGTGTTCATTTGAATCAGGTTCACACTCGTTAAGCCACTTATGAATATCATCTTTAAATCTTTCACTACGTGACATTATGTCCGAAAACCATTCATTTTGTTGAGTGATTACGTCTTCGTCATATAAGGGCAACACTTCCTCGTGAACAGTGGCGGCTTTCTCACACAATTTATTAAATATTCCCAAAGATTCCTTTACATGAGACACGTTTTCCTTTTCACGCATGAGCTCTTTCATTTCTGGTACTAAAGCCTTTATTTTACTCACAAACCCTCTGCGTGCATGTTGCAATTTTTCAACCTTCAGTAGCAACGCTTTTTCAGTGAGTTTACTTTGCCTTTTTGGCTCTGCGTCAGGACACAAGGCTGCACCATTGATTTGACTCATATTCACACTTTTATTTATTCCAGTGAACCGTTTCAGTTATACATCAGTGGGCAAACAGATGCATCATTTTCATTTCAACAAAGCAGCGTTTATCATTTCCCATGAAACTCCATCTGCTCATCGCATTATTTTATCCACATATGCGTCAACAGCAGCGCACTTCCACATTTACGCACGGGCATCCAACAGACATACTTTCATCCAAGCGCTCCAAATGTAAATACTTCGTGTATTATTGCAACAAGGATTTCGTATCCACATTCAAACTGGCACAGGTATGGCTTACCTGGCGTCCACGCGTTTGATGCTGTGCTTTGCCCCGTGGGTTGGTGACAGCTGCACTTACTTGGCGTTCTCCGAGTGGATTGATATTGCGAGCAATGGCTTTCAGCAAATGCCTTTTTTGTTGACTAAATGTAGCGACTCTAGTGCCTATTGCCGCTGGAGAGGAGAAACCGGGTTCGTCTAATTGTATGACGCGCTGCTTGGCTGTCACAGAGCACACTTTGTCAGGAGTTAAGTTTGATGGCGTTTTAATGAAAAGAAACACGAATGAGGTGATAACATAACGTAGACGTCTTGATATTGAACGAAACAGTGAGAAAAACGAAGGTACAAAAGAAACAAACACAAACGAACGGTCAACAAAAACTACGGCGACCCAGCCCCCCTCTCTACTACTGATTTCATTCATAAAACAGAGGTGAGAACTAAGTAGACACCGCCCCAGTAACCACGTGACCCACACCCGGCACATCACCCAATCAAACCCCAGCCCACTGTTATATTCAACTTATGGCTCCTACAGTAAGTATCCTAATGTTTTGAGTAGTTGCACCCCTGCTAATTAAAATCATGAGTTAATACGCTGTAGATGTGAAAGAGCTTGAACTCACAGCTGCTCCTCCTCCTGTTTGATCCTCTGTTCCTCTGGCTCCTCTTTAGTCTGAGGACCTTCTGGGATTTCCTGGAGCAGACAGGATTCTTCTACCTTCACACCCACAGCTCTGAACTCAGATAAAACAGAAGCTTTAAATTTACGTGTTAAAACAGTTCGAAAATCACATGTATTAAGCATGTGCCACAGGAACTATACACACTTTAAAACTGTCCATGTGTAAAAGTGAGACTCACATTTGCTGCTCATCTTCCTCCTGTTTGATGCCATATTCCTCTGGCTCCTCTTTCATCTGTGGACTCTCTGGCATTTCCAGCTTCACACCAGAACTCGCAGAGGTGACGTGGACACCTGCAAGAAACAGTCAGTACGTCTACATAAGAAAGATCATATCCAATCCACTTTATTTCTATAGCACATTTAAACAACTGAACAGTTCCAAAGTGCTGCACACAACAAAAAAAAGTACACAAAAAACTCCATGCTCAACCAGTCAATAAATATAATCCATGTAAAATCAATAAAAACACTAAAAAGATCAAATAAAACAGAATTAATAACAATAAATAGGTAAAAGTGAATAAAAAAAAAAAAATATATATATATATATATATATATATAAATATATATATATATATATTGTGGCTGTCTTTAACATCCTTGTTCGTGTTGTTTGTGCTGTCTCTACCATCGACAATAAAACATGTCTTCTGTCTGAATTAAAGACACGATCCCAGACTTTGTCATCTTCTTCCCCCCAAGATAACACACCCATCCCCACCTGTTCGTATTACTTACAAGACACACCAGTCATTCATTTACAATCTCCATCAGTGTTCTTTTCATTGACTTATTAAACCTCCAGTAAAAAAAACTTGTTGGATTTCACCATGTGTCATTAAACGTCAACACAACACGCAACACAAAAACAAAAAAATAATGCAAATATGTCTGGTTCCGAACTGTCTATACACTAGTTTATTTAGGGCAGCCATTTCAAAGAACCACCCTCACTCAGCTCAAAGTGTCAACATAACATAACTCTACTCATTACTTCTGTACAGATTTTGTATATTTGTGTGATTTGTTTGTAGCAACTAAAACTTTCTGTTGTAACAAACTTGTATCAGTATATTAAAGTTAGGTACCTGAGCACTGAGATGTACAACAAAAGGCAAACTAAAATTTAATATGTTTGTATAACGAGTTGTTTTATTTGTTCAAATTAGGTTATTGTATTTATTTTACATGATAAAAGGTTGCTTTAGACAGAATTTGTGAAAGCAATGTACATGATACCTGTCGTAACATGAACAAAATATGTAGACGCAGAAATAAAGTCCCAGATTAGCCAACTGATGCTGAACAGTTGAGCAAACTGTTTTATATTTGGAAAACTCTTTTAGGTCTATATTTAATTCAGTGAAAAGGAAGAAGAAAGGGCCAACATGTTAAGAATAAATATATTTCACTGTGTGTACATGTTTAAATGTCTAAATATGTCTGTAGATGTATGATGGAAATTAAGAATGCATGACAGACAAAACAGTTACAGTATTTGTACAGAGCCACTTTCATGATTATGGCTCAATGATTCAAAGATAACCATTAATTAATCTAATCAGTATCATCTAGCCCCAAATAAAACATTTTATCTTCAAGGTATGGGATGTTACGAGTCAAACAATGGGGAAAATTGACAAAGCTGGAGCAGGCTGTTGGCTCCCGTGTGAGTCTTCTCGTGCCGTTTTAGAGTTCCTGTGGAGAAGAACTTTGCGTCGCAGGTGGAACAGCTGTAAGTTGGCTTGTCCTCGCTGTGGCTCTTCATGTGTTTGTTCATGTTGGAGTTGGATATAAAGCGTGCGTCGCAGATCGGGCAGCTGTATGGCTTTTCCCCCGTGTGGTTTCTCGTGTGGATCTTCAGAGACGACTTTGTGCTGAAGCGGCTGTCGCAGAAGGTGCAGATGTATGGCTTCTCGTAGTCCCCGATGTGGCACTTCATGTGTTTGTTCAGATCAGAGCTCGAGGTGAAGCAGGCCTTGCACATCGGACAACAGTACGGCTTCTCCCCGGTGTGGCTCCGCTTGTGGATGATGAGATTGGAGTTTGTGCTGAAGCTCGCGCTGCAGAGAGAACAGCTGTAAGGTTTCTCCCCCGTGTGGGACCTCATGTGAACTTTGAGGCCATAGCTCATGCCGAACCGTGCGTCACAAATGGAACAGCTGTAAGGTTTCTCCCCATGCGTTTTCATGTGGATTTTGAGATCAGATCTGACAGGGAACTGCTCGTTGCAGACAGAGCAGCTGTACGGTTTCTCGCCTCTGTGTTTTCTCATGTGATTGGTCAGTCTGGAGGCATTAGCAAAACCCTTCTGACAGATTGAACAGCAATTCTGTTTTTTTATGATGTGTGTTTTCAAATGCGCTTTGAGATTACTTTTTTGGTTAAATGTTTTGTCACAGTCTGGACAGTTGTAAGGTTTCTCACCTGTGTGTGTTCTCATGTGAATTTTCAGGACAGAGGAGTTACTAAAGCCCTTCTGACAGATAGAGCAGCTGTATTGTTTTTCACCGGTGTGTGTTCTCATGTGTTCTTTGAGACTGGCCTTTCGGGCATACGCTTTCGAACAGATTGTACAACTATGCATTGTCTCTCCTGTGTGGACTGTAATGTGCATTTTTAAGTAATTCTTAGGAAATCTCTTTGAGCAAAAAGGGCAGGGTGTCTTTCCATCAGATTCTTCAGCCGTTCCTGCATCGTCCTCAGTGGCGTCAGGGTTTTCTCCATCTCTACAGGATTCGTCATCATCAAAGTCAGAGTTGTCTCCATCAGTCTCAGACTGTATGGTCTTCAAACTTGCAGAACAGGAGCCTGCTGCAGATCTGGGAAAGATAAAAACACAAGGTATATATACAGCTTTTTGTAAAAGAGACCATAAACCGTGCTCATTCTCAACGTTCATACTAAACTAAGCTGCTGTACATGTACGACACTTACTGCTGATCTCCCGCTGGTTTGATGCTCCGCTCCGCTGGCTCCTTTTTGATCCGGGCTCTATCTGGGATTCTTTTTTGTTCAAGCAGTGACGACTCACATGGGTTCACGCAGTCAGACCTTAAGAAAATAGAATTAAAAACATGATTGTCAGTTGCTGTTTTTTGTCTTCTTTTAAATAGTCGTTTACAGTATGCGGATTCACCAACTCTGTGTGGACGAGAGACAAAGTAAATTTCGTGACACAACTGAAAAAGCTTGGGCAGTACATAACTATCATTATGGACATTTGTTTTATTCAATATTTGCTGTAGCTATAGATTTGAGAAAAACAGACATTATTTCACACGCGACAATAAAGTCAGCCGTTTCAATATTGTATTTCAGCTGAATGAAACTGATACATTTTGCGCATGTGTGTTTCCTCACTGTTGCAGCTGCTCTCTTGTCTCCTGCTTCACACTGTGTTCTTCTGCCATATTCAGAGTCCGCTGTGTGGCTGTGGTCTGGATCACACTCACACAAGAGCTCTGCAGACCTGCACCAGACAAGAAAGAGGACACATGATGAAAACATACCACTGATCTACCTTTGTGAGGAATTTTATGTCAAAACACTACAGAACCAACTTTGAAATCAAAAAACTCTTTAAAAAATGGTGGCCTTTTTCTCTCAGACCTAATGTGTAATTTAGGGCAGAGCCTGGTTAGTGCTGTGATGGGAGACTCCATACAAGGTGGTGATTAACTACTACTGTAGCCACAGCTGCCCTGGGGCACAATGACGGAATATGACATGCAGAAGCCCGTTTTATTTGTATTTAAAATGATTCTTAAATAATGTCATCAAAACAGGGAACACAATACACAACAAATATGTTGTTTGTTGTCGATAATAATAATGATAAAACTATAATCCAGGAGGTGACTGACAAATCGAAACAGCCAATCAGCACGAGTCCAGCTCCTGAGTCCAGTGTATGTCTATTGTATAGTCCCGCATCCACCACAGCTAAAATGGAGCTATACTGTTTTACTTCTTTTGTGAGAAACTAAAATTGTTAGGATCATGTCAACTTGGAGAAAATGTGTTTTTGGTGTAAATATGTGAAGGAAGAATGTGGCTAAACTTTTTTTTACGGGGTACTGCCTCTGTTTGAATTAATCTGTTTATCTGTGACACTTGACTGTTCCAGATTTACAGGAACTGGACTTACGCAAAAGCTGATATGGAAACCAGTGTTATTCCCACACTAAAAAAACTTTAACACAAAGCCTCAATCTGTAAGTACAATGCTACTAACTCACAGTATACCTTTTGTCAACTAAAAAATTAGGGTCTGATTCTGGATTGAGGACATAGGGCTTGATGTGGCGGTTTGCCATTGTTGGAAAATGTTTATTCTCAGGTCTATGACTATGTCCTGGAGATAAACAACTCGCAGCGTCCCCACACGAGCAGGGGGAGGCGGGCTCACAGGCAGAGGAGCAGACTCCTCTCTGATCAGCCTGTTTGAGTTGAGGTGACATAACCTCTATGCAAGAGATGGTTATAATCTCACATGTTTTGAGTGTTGTATGGTGTCACTCAAATTATTATCACACATATGCATAGGACGAACAGTGAAACATGAAGAGCAGCGCAACATGGAACCTTTAATAACTACCATACGAGTGAAAGAATAACGCCATTTGAGGTGTCCAAAAAAAAATAGAGAGGCAAATAGTGATTCACAGGGACTCTTGATAACATTGTATATTTAGCTTTGTTAATGATACTGTTTTCTCATAAGGGGAAGACAGCATGTTGTGGTACAACATTTTACTTGTACAAGACTCTTTCTGGGGAGAAAAATATTAAGTATTATGTATGAACAAATACAGTACCCCAGCTTTACTTCTCTGACTGAGAGTATTAAGATTATATACCACTAAATAACTGCTCTCAATGTTTAACAGAAGTTTAAAATAATACTAACTGACTAATACAATTCAACCTATGATTTAAAAATGTTACCAGGAGACACATTAGCATCCCACATTCTCTACTACATTATATGACACCATTATTATAGATCCATGTGACACCCACTGAGCGTCCGGAAGCCAACAATATGTTAAACATTTCTAGATATTTTATATTTTACAGCAATGTTTATTTGATTCAAAATCCTCGAATGTAACCAAATGAGCCTTCAATCAACAGGCCTGGGGCCTTTGGGAACCTCAAAGACTTAAAACGAAATAATAATAAAAAGGAAGTTTCGAGAAGTGTAGTTTGTTGGCACCAGTGATTAATATTGATAATGTTGCTTGTTCTAGTTGACAATTATAAAATAAGAGTTATCGGGTTTGTAAAAGAGAGTGTGTGGGCAAACGGAACTCGGGTTTTGCATCAGAAACTTTATAATAAAAGCAGGAATATAAACTCCAGCTGCGGCCTATGGTTCATCCCAACCCTGGAGCCTCACTTTACATCGGTGGCTGTGCTAGCAAACCCCGAAACTTAACAATCCCATTATTGCTATAATTATGAGTAGTGCAATAGTTTTAGGTTGGGCTCTATGCAGACTATTGTCGTAAGGTTTGGACAAAAGTGCGTTTGTATAAAAATAGGCAAAAATTAGCTGCGCGCGAAGCAAGGTGCTAAAGCTAATGCTAATGCTAATGCTATGCTAGCTAGCACCGCCGCTCACTGCAACATAATGGATTCAATAAAGGTTACCTTTAATGGATAAATCCATGTTTACAGCGTTCGTCAACGCAGAAATGTGCCTGATTGTAATTGTGGATCCAAACATAAACATTTACGGTGCTAGGGCCGTGTTTAGTGTCCGGGCTGTGCCGCCTACACCCGGAGCTCATCAGGCTTTACATTTGTTCATTACAGGGATATAAAACATTAACCTGCCTTTTATCAGAACTAATTACCGAGTGTCTACATCAAAAGTATTAACCCGTTACAAAACTCTCCCTTGAAACAGCTCAGCGAGAACGCAATAATAAACACGAATGGTACTTTATTATTAAAGACACTTACAACCAAAGTTATAAGTTATATGTTACAAAGTAGGTTAATATTTGATGTTTATACATTTGTTAAAAACAAAGCCTAAATGTCCCATATTTTTGCCTCCTTCAAGTTTCCCAGTCCATCCCACTCAAAACTTGTGAAATTAATGCCATTTCTTGCCAGAGGTGATGTCACCTCAAGTTATGGCTGGTTCAATCTTTTTAGACTCAAATGCGTTATTATAATAGATCCATGCTCAAACGCCACACTGTATAGAAGAGGAAAAGGTCAAAATCATAGTGAATACGTGATACAAGCCGTTATTATAATAGATCCATGGATACAAGATGTGGAGCAGGATCAGAACTGTTTTATTGTTGGTCTGGCCCATGCTTTTGATTATGTCTCACAAGAATATTTATGGGGCATTTTGTCTAAATACAGATTTCTAAATTATTTTATAAATATGATTTAGCGTCTCTATTTAATGAGTTAATAGGCTTACAGAGTTGACAACGAGGTAGTCGCTGAAGTTAGTATTAGCGCCACCAGCTGGACCGAGCATTGTACTACCGCGCATTTGGTTTGGCACGGTTGAGAGAATAAACCCTTGAGACTGCGGGTCGTCTTCACTCCCCTGTGGCGACGATCCAGGCCACTTGGCCTTGTTCGTTTGTAAAAACCTATGTGACCGTGCCATTAGGCCGCTGATATTATTAATATTAGCGGCCATTTTCTTTTTCGTCTCACATTTGAGTGTTTTACTATTTTATTGTATTGTTTAAGTATCCCGTTTGTCCTCTGGAGGAGCCCTCTGCACTTGGAGTTGTGGTCTGCTGTTGGGAGTCTGGCTCTTGGATCGAGTGTGGGTCTGGGGCCTCCTCTCTCCTCTGGATCCTCTGGGGTCTGACTCCTGGACCTTGTGGAGGTTTTGGGCCTCCTCTCTCCTCTGGATCCTATGTTGTCCCCTGTGGCTGCAGGCGGCTCTCTGCTCCTGGTGCAGATGTCTCCTTGAATGGTGCTTCTGCAGATGGAGTACACATGTGGTTTTGGGTGGGTCTGTTGGGTTAATGGATCATGGGCATAAGGGATTATCTTTACTTAAACTGTAAGGCACTTTCTGTTGCATATTCTGTATGAAAATAACTTTATAAATGATGATGTAAGGCTTAACACTTAATGAATAAGTCTCAACCATTATCACGTAAAGTGCATCTTGTGATTAAATATTTCAAAACCAAACATACAAATAGTTAACTTATTTAAATCCACCAATGTCCACCCTCTCAGGCAGAACATGCCACAGGACCTGTCCCATTGTGGATAACTGATGCATGCGTCCAAATTAATTGTGTTATGAATATATCTGAACGTTGTTGAGATAGATTGTTTGCAAATAAACCCCTGTAAACCAATCCCCTATCAGTGAAAAACTTTTCCCTCACTGTATCCAGTGGAGTTCAGTACGATTGTGACCATTTGTGTCCATTTAATTCGGTACAATAGTGTAAGTGGACCCTGGCCTGTTAGCACGTCTTGAGATGTTATTTGATAAAATAATGTGAAAAGAAAAGAAAATGAGAAGATTTAGAAGGTCTTTTATTCGTCCCACAGTGGAGAGATTTGTGCTTGATGAACACAAACACACATTTAAACATTAGGGCATGCTGTGGACATTACTTCTGCGCTCCTTATAGGCAAAGTGGGAACGTGTCTTGCCCAAAGACACAACAGCATGCAGCAGACATCAGTGCTGGGGTTGAACCCACGACCTTTAGGCTATTAGGCAAATGCTTTAGAAGTGTTTTTTTATTCTTATTTTTATTATCTCTTTCTGACTGTTGCACTGAGCCAAAGACATTTCCAAGTCTGTGACCTCCTGTTACTTACGTGGCAATAAAAATGATTCTGATTCTGATTTTCTACCAACCGAGCCACCAATGAAAAAAGGCTTCATTTTCTTACTTCATATATATAACATATTGATGGTAATCACAAGTAAAGCATGAAACAAAATATTACTGGCAAACTATTTTTTTTTTTTTTTTTTTTTTTACAATTGAAGCTAAAGCTCAGAGGATACAGAGGATATGGAGATTTCGCTCAACCAATTTAAACTTGTAAAGGTTTATGTGTTTCTGTATGTGGTATAAAACCTGTGGTGAACACCCTGTGCATTTAACAACAACCACATCCAGAATATTCACACATTTAAATTGTTTAAATAGATGATATGGTCACAATACAATGAGAAATGGTTCTAAAATGAAATGAGTGCTGTTGTTAAGTTTATATGTGTGCTAGTTTTGTGAAAAGGTTTGCATCTGAATATAGTAGTTTACATTAAATATTATAAAATAACTTTTTCACATATTTTAATCAATGTTTCTAGATATCCCTACTGTTTTGAGAGCTTCCTATTTTCTTTTCTTAATATTTACAGTCTCTGGCTCCAACCCTTCATAGAGAAACCCGGACTGAGGCCTGACCAATCAGCGGTGAGGAACAGCGCAGCTCGCATGAGGCGAGTATAAATAAAGCGGACAGAGCCTTTTTCTTTTGCCAGTTTGCATACTTCCCATGTGACATCAGCACTCCCGGTCTGTCGTTGCGTCCACCATTTTAAAGGTCCTATATCACGCTTTCCTTCATGTTTCACACTCAATCCTATGCACATGTGTGATATTAATGTGTATGATACACCACACAACAATCAAAGCTTGTGAGATTAGAGCCATCTCTTGTATAGAGGTGACGTCACCTCGACTCAAACGAGCTGATCCAGAGAAGAGTCTGCTCCTCTGCCTGTGAGCCCGCCTCCCCCCGCCCGCATGGTGACGTAGCATCACGCTTTTGTCGTTTATCACCTGTACTTAGTAATTTCATACATAAGAATAAACTTTTTCCAACAATACCCGGTGGCAACCCGTGGTCTGCAAGGGGCTGGCGGGACTGCAGCCCGGTCCCGGGACGGAGAAGGGCCTGGAGGGAACCAAGGCCAGGGAGGACACCGGTGCCCAGCGGACTACGGGTTTTTATCATGATTTTAATGGACCTTTTGTAAATATTTTATTAAATTTTATCCTCTTCCTGTTTTATTGATCACACCCCCTCAACAGACACTTTTAAACCTGTGACATATGTAACAACAAAATCATGCCCAATGCCAAACTGTAATAATGACGAGACTCTGGATCATCTTCTCATTCACTGTTACCGCCCACAGGAAGTATGGACCCGTTTACAGACTCTCGGACTCACTTATCGCTCCATCACATACGGACTATTTCAAGAAACTCTTCCCCCCACATCAGCAACTCTTCCGACTCATCATCGCAATATCTACAGTACAACTCTGGAAAACACGGACTAAAATCACAATATCACACATTTTCATCGACAGTAACACAATTTACAAACAAATCATGACACAAGTAGTAGTAGTAGTAATCTTTATTTATATACCGCCTTTTCACTGCACATCGGAGTCTCAAAGCGGTTTACAATTGTTATTTTTGGGAGTGGGGGTGCCAGAACAGGAGGCACATGCCAGACCTATTGTACATATTTTTAGTGGTAGGGGAAACCGGAGCACCCGGATGAAACCTACGCAGACACGGGGAGAACATGCAAACTCCACTCAGAAAGGCCCTGGTCCAACCGGGATTTGAACCCAGGACCTTCTTGCTGAGAGGCGAGAGTGCTATCCACTCAGCCACCGTGCCGCCCCACAAAACATGCAAATATTATCATAGTTGAAATTATTATTGTTGAAATGTATATTTGTTGTTGTTGTGCTAATTTTTGTGTAAATGTTCTGTGAAATATAAATAAAAGCATTTATAAAGCGAAGTCCGCGCCCAAGAATGGCTCCAAAAAAGCTGTTCAACACCAAGCGCTCCACCATCACCTCCAGGGAGATCCAGGCCGCAGTGCGTCTGCTGCTGCCCGGAGAGCTGGTCAAGCACGCCGTGTCTGAGGGCACTAAGGCCGTGACCAAGTACACCAGCTCCAAGTAAACGCGGTCTACAGCAACAAAACTTAAGGTCCTTTTCAGGACCACGCACAAACCACAAAGAGTCTCTTCTGTGACGTGTAATGAAAGAATGTGTTTACTTGTGATGCACGGCGACCTTGAGTATATCAAGAAAGCAATAAAATGTATTCTAGCCGATTTTTCTGCGAATAACGAATCAACCTGTCATGTGTGTAATGCAATACTATATTATCCATCATTAACTTATGTGACAATATGAATTAAACTGTGCTTGAAACGGGTCGCGCCTGTCCCCTTAAAACACAGCATTTTACTAAAAATTTTATAAAAAATATGTCAATCGTTTGTGCTACGTTTGTGCTGTTTTGTGCTGTAAAATTTTTTGTTTGTGCAGTTATCGTTTTTGAGATATTGAGGATTCTTTTATAGGTCAATCTGAGGTCACCCAGCCCCTCATTTTGCTAAAAAATACTCCAAAATGGACGAAAATAGTGTCATTCATTTGTGCTACGTTTGTGCTGGTTTGTGCTGTAAAAATTGATGTTTGTGCTGTTATCGTTTTTAAGATATTAATAATTGCATTTTTAGACGATGACGTCATCATACTCTTTCGAAAATGCGCAGAACTGACTGAGAATGGTGTCTATCCTTTTGGCTTCGTTTATGCTGTGCATATATTTGGTGTATACAGTTATGTTAAACATTTTAAGAATTTGGGTATCTCTTTTTTATTT